TGGTGATGCTGATTTCCCTTTTTCTCTCTGATTGCAGGGAATCTGTGAGTGAGTGYTMTCTGGTGATGCTGATTTCSYTTTTTYCYCTCTGATTACAGGGAATCTGTGAGTGAGCACTATCTGATGTGCGGTTTCCTCCCCACGTGGATGAAAGCGCAGGGCTGTGGTGTAACGCTGCCCACCTGGCGCTGTGACACACGCAAACATCGCTCCTGCAACACTCACCTGGCCAGTTCTTCTTGCTCTTTGCTGCTCCCCGTTTCCATCGCACCCCCACGCTCTGCTCCTCATTGTCCAGGAGGGAGAGCACCCCAATCCAGAGCTGCTGGATATCCCTCCTTTCATCACCAACACGCTAAAAGGCAGAGTTTGGGCAGGTTTTTCCTTCACATTTTATTCCCCGTCTCTGCCTTTCTGTTCCTCTCATCACACAAAGCKTTTATCATCTGCCTGTGGTTGTTCCCAGCTTCTGAACTCTCTGTTCCCAGCTTCTGGCCGGACAGGAATCTTTTATCATCCTGCCCTATTTGCATTGGTGTGTCTCTTGCTGGGGTTATGCCATACTGGGATCCATCCCGTTTTGCTCCTTCTGGATCCCAGTGACGCCTGCAGGAATAAACCACCGGAGTGGGTGGCAGGAACTCTGCCTTGGAGCGTTCATTCCAGCTCACTGCTGTTAGCTGGGATCTAGGGAAGGGATTGCTCTTGCATTTGCACAAAAGTTTACAAACCCAGATTGTCTTTTTAATTTTTTTTCCAGCAAGATTTCTCTTATTTGAAAAAGTTRTTTTTCTAAAATCTTGTTTGCTAAGTGCTTTTGCTTCTGTTGTGAAGCATTTCTTTCAGCTATTCAGTGTGAAAACCCTTTCCAATTTCTTTACCAGTACTATTGATTAAAATGCAGTTTACTTTCCTGGGGAAAATTTGATATTCAAAAATGTCTTTTCACTGTGAGTCAGAATGTTCTTTTCCATGGAATAAAAATTCTGGAAAGGACAAAAAAATGCAATTGGAAATGTTGAACAAATTATATTGTCATTTCAACCAGGTTATATAAGAAAAAAGAAATAACTTCAAATGAAAAGCCCTGGTATTTTTCTCATATTTTGAGAAAATTAGTGCATTTTTCTCCAGCAGCTCAATTTTATCTGTTCAGAATTTTCCATATGAAACTCTGAGAATGTTCTGTACCAGCCCTAACTCCAAGTTCCTRTTTAACTCAATTGGCTGTTTCAGGTTACATATTAAAAATGAATTATGGAGCTTTCTTCTCCTTARGTTTCACCCATTGATGTTTCTTCTAGAAATGAATAAAACTATTTCCAGTATTGTGGAGGAGTCTGTAGCTCTCAGGCTATAAATGCTGTATCCAGCAATACAATTACAATTTTGAAGGAAACCGGAKAGAAAGGAGCTTTGGAATGCAACAGGTTAAATTGAATTTTGCATCTTGCAGATCAGAGATGAGGAAATGCCTGGGGTAATTACTGCTGGCTTGGATGCCCTCTCATGATGCTCTCCCTGGCAGTATTGCTGTGATCATTTTTTGGGTTTCAATATTTCCTTTTTCCTAAATTGAAAATACTTTGCTGTGCTGAACAGAAAGGACCTGAGCTCTGCTCAGCTGGACGCACTGAAGAGAGAAAAGTTTGTGGCAAGATCTGATTTTCACTCCTTTAAAAAATCATCCCTGWGGAGAAAGGGGTACCCTGGGGGTGATGGGATTTGGGCTCTGGATGTGCTGTTCCTGAAGCACCCGGATTTCGCTGGATTTCGATGGTGTGGACTCAGCTTGGGCTGGTGGGGAGCAGTTTTGGGGGAATCCTTTGAGCTTTAGGTCCCTCCAGTCTGGAGGAGGGAGCAGATGCTGTCCCATTGTTCTGGGGACAACTTCAGAAAGGGAAATGCCACCCTGTGCTTTCCCAGCACCGYAATATCCTGATTATTCCTGAATTTCCCTCAGTGTACAACTTGCCTGCAGCTTCATTAAACCCATCATTCCTTGTCACGAAGAGCAGCCATTACCATGTCTCACTGCTTGTCCTTTCCCTGGATTAATCARTATTTTCATTTTATCACAGATGATTTTCTAGCCCTTGGACCTCTCCTTTGGACTCTCTCCAGTTGTTTTTCCAACTCCAGACGTGGTGCCCCAAACAAGACTTCAGCAGCAGCTCCACCAGAGCCAACTGGAGGCAGAGGACTCCCCAGCTGATCCCAGTGGTGGCAGAAGGATGAATTTCCTCCTCAGCTTTTCCACCCTGCTCTGACTTGCTTCAATCACTTGTTTTCATCTCTGCCTCTGATGTCCATATGATTTGGTAACTTTTATCAATTCCCTGTCTTAACTTCCCTATWATCTGAAAAGAAAAGCTTCCATATCTGTTTTACCTCCTATTTAACAGCTCAAAATTTGTGGATGAGGGATAGAGACAAAGTAAGTGGAAAATCAATACACTTCCAATCCAATTTAAAGCTCAGCAGAAGCAAAAAAAAAAAAAAAAGGGGAGCGAGATATTTTATAAAATCCTGGAAGGTGCAGGCAAATGGAACTTTTTAGTTTAAACTGGAGTTTTGTTTTGGAATTCCTCAAAGAAAAATTGGAATTCTGCCACGTTGTGATGGTTTATATTGTAGGAAACTGGGAATGCCTCAGCCTCTTGCCCTGTGTGGTTTGCAGTTACTCATGCCATTGTGCAAGTTTGAACTGTTATTTTATAAATATTTATATATRTATTTATTCTAYATATTTATATTATTATATTATTTATACATATTTATWTATAATTTTATAAAGTGAAAAGAAACAAAAACCTTTACAGGCTGATTTCCTGTGTTCAGGAATAAATGCCTGGAAGAGATTCACAATATCATTTATTTAAACCCCAGCTTTCAATATTTGGTTTCCACAAAACCCTTGTGGCTGTGGAATMAGCATCTCCAATTTTTGGGTGGCATGCAAGTGATTGCATTTAGAACAGTTGATTTGTGAAGGAATTTTCTCTTGGCTTCTGCAAAATTAAATTAATTTCCACGAGAACTTCACTGGGCAAAATTTCTGTTCTAAATAACTTTTATCATTGRGARTTGATGTAGTAAATTCAACTTAATTTCACTRCATTTATTTTTTTATTTATATAATTTCAAGGAGTTAAGATCTCATATTCTAAAGAAATCCAATTGTTTAGTTGCTCAAGGAGCCATAACTGATGGAAAAAGAKTGTGCTGGATTTAACATCATGAAGYTGAGCTGCATTTTTCTAGTGTTTTACTGAATAGAGATGCTGCAGAGACCCCAGATAAAGAGATTTTTGTTGGTCATAGCCAAAATCTGAGAAAAGACAGCAATAAAAACTTTTTGAGTGACTCATTTTAAGGAGCAAGCTCATTTTAAAGGCTGAACTATATTTTTTTTGTTTCAATATTTTGATTGTCTTAGACTCAGAAAATGGGTCTCTAAAGATGGTTTCATTCTGCATCTTGGACTCACCCGCACCTGGGGATTTAACCAAGAAAATGCTGCTGAATTTTCCTCCTTATTATTTGATTTCAGGTGTGGCTGCCCTCATCAGCTGAAAAACATGTCCATCCGAGGCCTGAAGAAGAAACAACCCAAGACTTTTAAAGTCAAAATTATAACAGTGGATGCTGAGATGGAGTTCAGCTGTGAGGTGAGTGTCACCAAATCCTGGGGAGTTGGCAACTGACTTTGTATTAGCAAAAACTTTGAAAAAAATCACATTATCAGCTTGTGGATGGTCTTAGAACTGATCTGTTGTTTTTGTAAACAATGATTGTTTCATCTCAGGTGCATTCTTCTCTTAACTCTGCTCAGGATTTAAAGCTTTTGGCATGAAATCCATTTGACAGAGCTAAATTAACAATAARCCTGCTTCCTTCATAAGCATTCCAGTTGTTTGTTAGAATTCCTACTTCTCCACAAAATTTTTTTTTTAAGTGGCACAACTTTTAAATTAAGATGCTGCCAGCTTGGAAAAACTGGTCAGAGCTGGTGCTAAGATGTTGCTTATGAAATAATTTATAAACTTGTATTTTTGTTGATCTGGGCCATGCTCTTCCAATTTGYCATTTGTAAACTCCTGATCTTTAACTGCAGTGGATGTTTGGATCTCTGGGCAGAAGAGAAAAGTGGTGGAAAAAGTGGGATTTTCTTCAGTTAATTATGGCTATCTGGTAAATTGATAAAAGAAATCATGGCTGGAGAAAAAGAAATGATCAATTACTAAATAAATTGGGCTGCACTACTGAGGAGACAGAATGGTCCCTGATTAATTAATTCCTAATCATCCAGCAAAAGCTGAAGAAGATATACAAGTATTTTGAGGAGTTAGGAAACTGAATTCCAATGGGACTGGCAATTTTTGTGAGACTTGTTGAGCCATTTWATGTCATTTCTAGGTCCTTCAGGAACTGAATAGATCAGTCTTGTATGACTTCCTGCTAGGCAGAGTTGTGGAAATAAAGAATTTGGGAAATTTGATTTCGAGATCGGAGTTCTTGTTAACAAATCACGGATTCCTTGCTTTGCTACCTCTCCTTTCTCCCCAGATACTGCTGGGATGATTTCCAMCTTTTCACTCAAACTGCCTAAAAGTTCACCTTTTTTTTTTTTTTTTGCCATTAAGTTTTGAGTTTTAACAATTAGATAAAATCACCTTTCTGAAATGTAGTCAAATGGAAGAAACATGGAAAAAGTTTCTGTTTTTGAAAGGCACCACCAAATGTGTGTGGATTTGCGATCTTTAACCAAAGTTTGCTCTCTCTGGCTGCTAAATTGAAATGAGAATATTTAAGAAAACTCATTTAAATCAGAGTGGGAGAAAGGCTTGGCCCACTGAGACACCTGAGGGCTGTGAAAGGTGGAGCTGCTCCCATTGTTCAGCATTCCTGCCCTGTGTCCTGACCCTCCTTTGGTTTCCCCTGGCTTTCTCTCACTCTCTGATTTCTACAAATGATTGAGTTCAAATTTTTTTAACAAATATTCATAAAGACTTGCCAAATCCCAGGAAATCCATAGTACAATCCTCATTCCCAGTGCTCCTCAAGTGCTTGGTGGTGAAATGAGTCCAGCTGCTCTCTGGGTGTGTCTGGAGAAGCAGAGGAGGTGTAACACAGCAATTCTTTCACAGCAGCAGGAATATTTCMTTGAAGATCAGGTGAAATAACATTTCATAGGAGAAAGGGCTAAAATAGAGCAAATTTGTGTAAAACCTACAGGTTTTTCTTGATTTTTCTCTCTTCTAGATGAAGTGGAAGGGGAAGGATTTGTTTGACCTGGTGTGCCGAGCCCTTGGGTTGAGGGAGACTTGGTTCTTTGGCTTGCAGTACTCGATGAAAGGAATGTGYACCTGGTTAAAGATGGACAAAAAGGTACAGGAGACAAAACATTTGGCAGTTATTTACTGAAATAGCATGGCAGCTATTTACTKACATAAATATGGAATTTCTGTGACACAGGAGCTAAGGGGATGTACTCTGTGACAACTCAGAATTTTATGTGGTAGCTTTTTTTGAGGGCTAAAATTGAATTATTTGCTCTGATGGCTTCTATTGCATTTGACCTGGAGCATCCCAYGCTAATCACCACTGTGTGCACTGATTGCTGTTAGATTAAAACTCAGAATTTCCCTTCTATTTAAAACAAAGGAAGGCTGCTTGGAGTGGATTATTGGCTGCTTTCTGCTTTTCCTCGGGAATATTATCTTGAGATGCTCCTGTATAATTTCTCCTGCTGATTTATTTTATCTCTACACAGGTTTTAGATCAAGAAATCCCCAAAGAAGATCCCGTCAGCTTTCATTTTTTGGCTAAATTCTAYCCAGAGAAGGTAGAAGAGGAACTATTACAGGAAATTACCCAGCATTTATTTTTCCTTCAGGTCAGGAACAGTTTTAAACCATGAATTCCTTCTGTGTTTCCCCAAGTCCTTTTGATCTTGTTGGCAGCTCAGAATAATTTTGCTTGCTTCAGCTGTATCAAAAACTTTATAGAAATTACTATTTTGATGAAATGCAAACATCTCTCCTGACTGCTGTRATTTTTGTGTCTGGGTAAGTGTTTCATCTTCTGCAGGTTTTTGTTCTCTCCTTTTGTGACAACACCCGGCAGTTTGGGTGATAATTCCAAATCTGGAGATTCCAGGCTTGTTTAGAATTTGGGTAAATCAAAATCTGGAGATTCCAGGCTTGTTTGGATTTTGGGTAAATCCAAATCTGGAGATTCCAGGTTTGTTTCACTCCTTGATATGTATTAAAAAAAAATTAAATCCATGCAAAGCTGGAACTGCTTGGAGAACAGGGAGGCTTTTTGGGAGATTTTGTTGTGCAGRAAGGCACAAGCTCTAGAAAACAAGGACTCTCCAACTTCTTAACMCTTCATTTTGGATTGGAAGGATCAAAGATCATGGAATTTGACAGAAATCAGAATTCATCCAGAAATTTCAGAAATCCAGAATTTTTCACCTGGCAAGGTTTAAAAAGAGCAAAGCAGACACCATTTTAGCTCAATCAAAAAGTGAATGAAGGAGCAAATTCTTGGAGCTTTATCCAAAATAAAGATGGATCACCCAGGAAAAGCTTCAGAGCTGCAGCGAAGGACACAAACCCCAGAACTTCATCCAGAACCTTTAAATACTGGCAATTTTTGGAAAGGAATGAGACCAGCAGAACTGTTTGAATCTTGATTTTCCCACTTTYTTTCTTTTCTGCTTGAACCTGCCTTAACTAGCAGATCTGCAATTAGCAAATTCTTCTCATTCCCGAGTAGGAAAACAAGGCTGAAACAAATTGGAACTTGCAAAGTTTCCTGACTGCAAGAACTTCAGCTCACACCTGGATGCTAATAGGAAAAACATGTACAGACATCTGGATGCCTGAAGATTTCAGCTCTCCTGACTCTTCAGCCCTTTGCAAATTAATGTGGCAGAGCAGCTTTTGCAAAATGCCTGAATAAATGTAAATGACTGAAGCCAAATGTTTGCTTAAAGATGAGGTCATTTATTGCTTCTTCGTGAAGTTTAACCAAAAAGATCCTCGAAAAAAACTGATCAGCAAACAAAAAAACCCAGACAGTTTTGGGGGATTTACCCTTAAATTCAAAATTTTGGAGTGTGATTTGCGCCATGGAGTATAAAACCTGCAGCTTTCCAAATTGGAAGAAAAATCTTTTCATTCTTTCCATTTTAACAGCCTAGAAAGAATTTTCCTTGCAGCATAACTCRGGTTTATATATTGTGCTCCTCACCAGGGGCTAAATCTGAAAGCAAAAACTTTCTTGGGGGGTTCATTTCAGTTCACACACCCACAGAGCTGCGTTTGTAAACACAACTTGTGCTCGCTCAAGTAATTTTTCTATTTGGAAATGTTTMGGACTGCGAGCCAGTGCAAAATCCTGTTGTCTTGTGCTTGTTCCTGAGCTGAATACACCAGAGAGGAGGATTTGGGAAGATTAATTTCCCCTTCCCGCTTCAGGTTTTCAAACAAAAATTGCTCAACTGATTTAAAAATCAAACAGCACCTTAGAAACTGTCACACCTCTSGTCTGGGTAGCACCACAGGTTATTAAAATGAAAAGAATGAAAAAAAAAAACAAACCTCTTTACCATTGTTTGATTGTGCTTACACCATGGAAATGGAATAAATTAAGTGCTCTATTATTCAGCTTCCCTTTTGGGGTTCTCCTTTATTCTCTCATTCTGGAAAGGTTKAGAACATATATTTTGGGTTTAAATATGGCAAAACCATGCTGGACAGCCCTGAGCCTCCTGTTCTAGTTAGATTTGACCTCCACAGCTCCCTCCCAACCTAAAATGTGATGTCTGACCTGATGCAAAGCTGATTTTTCCCAAGCAGGCAGAAAAAAAAGAAAGATTGTTAAAAGAAATGAAGCACAGACAATAAAATTGATGTTTTATAAGTTTTTTTTTTTTTATAGCACTCCTTATGTAACAGTGTGGAGAGRGCTGAGTGGCATTTTTGGTCTCATTAAATGCAAAGCTAACTAAAGGCTTCCTGTGTTCCCTGAATGCCAATTCCTTGTTGCTGTTATTAACTCAGAAAGGTGATGTTCGCTGCCAAGTCGAAGTCTGGGCATGTCTGCTTTCATTTCAAGCCTGACAGAAATCCTGACTTTGAGCTCTTTTAACTTTGCTCCCTTTTTTTTCTGGTGGTTTAGGTTAAGAAACAAATCTTGGATGAGGAAATCTATTGCTCACCCGAAGCAACGGTTTTACTGGCTTCTTACGCTGTYCAGGCCAAGGTTTGTGCACAGAATATCTCTTTTTGATTATTGACTTTTTTCTGGTTTAACCAGCACGTTTCCATGGTGGTGGGTGAASCCAGCAGAGTTAAAATTTGCTATTAAAGAAGTTKATCATCCTGGGAGGSACAGTCAAAGCCTGAAAAATAWACATTAGATGCCTGTACRAGAGTGGCTTTTGAAATTTAGGGGATTTTTTCAGACCTAATATTTAAATGTCATCTTTCCTCCAGCTAAAAYGATTTCCTGTTGTCTTAAAAAATAACCAGAGGTGCAGAAACTCAAAAACAGAGCTCACAATGGGAGAAGCACAGCTTCTCAGTAGGGGTCTCCCTGTGCAGCAGTTCATGTTCCTTCAGTTCAGGGGGTGAATTTATGGGAGATTCCTCCAGAGCTGCCATTCCCAGGGTTGGATTGAAGGATTCCAGGTTAGGATTGCAGACTGAGTGGTGTGTGAACACAGCAGAGTTAAAATTTGCTCTTAAGGGACAAACACAGCCAGAAAARTAAACATTAAATGCCACCACAAGGGTGTTTTCTATACTGTGCTTTTGGAATTTAAGGGATTTATTCAGACTTAACAGTTTAATGYCATCTTTCCTCCAGCTAAAATTATTTCCTGTTGTCTTAAAAAATAACCAGAGGGTGCAGAACGTGCTCAAAACAGAGCTCACAGTGGGAGGACACACAGGTTTTTGGTTTCTCACTGATCCCTTCTTGTCACCGAGAGCCCAAGTGAGATGATGGCAGGAGGTGACCACAGTTCCTCAGCAGGGAGGTGACCTCAGTTCCTCTGCTCACGTTCCTTCAGTTCAGAGGGTGAATTTATGGGAAATTCCTGCCCTTTTCAGGGTTGGATTGAAGGATTCCAGGTTAGGATTGCAGTCTGAGTGGTGTGTGAACACAGCAGAGTTAAAATTTGCTCTTAAGGAATAGGCACAGCCAGGAAAATAAACATTAAATGCCACCACAAAAGTGTTTTCTATACTGTGCATTTGGAATTTAAGGGATTTATTCAGACTTAACAGTTTAATGTCATCTTTCCTCCAGCTAAAATGATTTATTGTTGTCTTAAAAAATAAACGGAGGTGCAGAAAGTGTTCAAAACAGAGCTCACAGTGGGAGGACACAAAGATTTTTGGTTCCTCTCAGGGTGCTGTTCCCTTCTTGCCCAAGTGAGATGATAGCAGGAGGTGATCACAGCTCCTCAGCAGGGCTGTGCTCACATTCCTCTGGTTCAGAGGGTGAATTTATGGGAAATCCCTGCCCTTTTCAGGGCTGGATTGAAGGATTCCAGGTTAGGATTGCAGTCTGAGTGGTGTGTGAACATAGCAGAGTTAAAATTCGTTATTAAAGAAGCTCGTCATCCTGGGAGGGATAAAGCACTGCCAGAAAAATAAACATTAGATGCCTCTACAAGAGTGGCTTCTGAAATTTACAGGTTTCATTCAGACCTAATGTATTAATGTCATCTTTCCTCCAGCTAAAATGATTTCCTGTGGTCTTAAAAAATAACCAGAGGTGCAGAAAGTGCTCAGAACAGGGCTCACAATGGGAGGACACAAAGGTTTTTGGTTCCTCTCAGGCTGCTGTTCCCTTCTTGCCCAAGTGAGATGATGGCAGGAGGTGATCACAGCTCCTCAGCAGGGCTGTGCTCACGTTCCTTCAGTTCAGAGGGTGAATTTATGGGAAATTCCTGCCCTTTTCAGGGCTGGATTGAAGGATTCCAGGTTAGGATTGCAGTCTGAGTGGTGTGTGAACACAGTAGATTTAAAATTTGCTGTTAAAGAAGTTGATCATCCTGGGAGGGACAGTCAAAGCTTGAGAAATAAGCATTAAATGCCACTACAAGAGTGGCTTTTGAATTTTAGGGGATTTATTCAGACCAAATGTTTTAGTATCATTTTTCCTGCAGCTAAAATGATTTCCTGTGGTCTTAAAAAATAACCAGAGGTGCAGAAGGTGCTCAGAACAGGGCTCACAATGGGAGGACACGAAGGTTTTTGGTGCCTCTCAGGGTGCTGTTCCCTTCTTGCCCAAGTGAGATGATGGCAGGAGGTGATCACAGCTCCTCAGCAGGGCTGTGCTCACATTCCTCTGGTTCAGAGGGTGAATTTATGGGAAATTCCTGCCCTTTCCAGGGTTGGATTGAAGGATTCCAGGTTAGGATTGCAGTCTGAGTGGCACAGGGGCTGGCAGGAGCTGCCATGGGCTGCTCAGCTGTGGGGATGTG